CTGTAACAAAACAGGTCTCTCCCATATCTTTACAGCAACAGCAGGCGCTGCAACCTTCCAACAGTTCAAAGGAGCAGTCCTCCAGTGTCTCCTGGGACAGACGTATGCCAACAAATATCTGTGGGACTTAACCATCTCTCTGTGAATAGGAGTAGAAGCTTCAGGGAATGGAGTGACAAATGTTGGATCTTTGGCCTATAGATTAATACTTTCCCCCATTGAACTGCAAGTTTTAATTTAACCTCAGGCTACACTGGTTCTTCCAGATCTTAACATAGCCCAAGCATTGTGGCTCATGCACTGGTAACCTTAAGGTTGGATTTTGGCTGGGGCGGGGAACTTTCTTTTCACACCAAAGGCCCCATTCCCATATGGGCATCCTTCTGTAGCCTCAATGCCAGGAAGGGCCAAAGGTTAAAGTGGGCCAAGCAATTAATGCAAGTTTTTCCTTGTACAGAAAGTTGGTTTTTACACCCACACCCACCATCCCTCTTCTCCATCCAGACCACAGAGAGGCAGAAGTTAAAGGACACATTCCAGCCAAACAAAAACATTCCAGCCAGACAAAAATCCCACCCAAAGCAGGAAAATTGATCAATTATCCAGATCAATTATCCACACAGCACTTCTGTCTTTACCATAATCAGTTTGGACAACAGAGTAAGGCAAACTTTGGCTTAACTCAGAACAGCAGAGAAGCAAATATGTTGTGAGCCCACATGTTTTCACAAATCACACTAAACCAGTGTTTGGCTTCAGTGTGTCATGCAAACCAGGCTGCCGATAAGTACCTGGACTGATGTTAATAACCAGGATTAGAAAGGGATGGAGAATGGAGGAGAATCCGAATGACGATTGAAAATGAATTTGCCAACATGAAGTAAATGTTCTTGTGATCTTGCTTGTTCCGTTTCCAGGTATAATATCACAAAGAGTAGGCTGAAAACTGGATCTTGGGTTGACAACCTAACTGCAAAATATTTTTTTGCCTGGGGTGGGGGGAACTAAGCCGTGCTGCTTAGTGTGTGTGTGTGTGTGTGTGTGTGTGTGTGGTATATATATATATATTTG